ATAAAGAATTGACATGTTAGCATATTAATGGACTCAGATGTCACGTAAATGGTTAGAACAGTTTACTGAATGACTCAGATATCTGGCAATATACATGCAAAGCCTCTTTAGCTCTTAAATATAAAGCAACTTCCTTTTGGCAAAGTCCTGATTAGAACAACATAGGTTGTAGTTATTTATAGCTCAGATGCTATTGCTGAACATTTCTCAGAGTTGTAGATACTGTATTATTAACTATAGTAAAGCTCCAAAAATCAGTCAGCAGAGGCCACTTCAATCTCCGCATGATAATAAAGGATTATTATGTGCAGTAACCTATTTATGAAAAGGAAACAGTGTGCTTCTTTCAGACTCCATCAATTGCTTTAATAAGGAATTGAAAAGCCTGGCCTACTTTATATGCAGATCACCATCCCAGTTGCATAAGGATTTACAATAGACAAAACAAAACTGTTTTTGTTGTAAATAAGGGCTGTTTGTTTAAATTGCACAATAATGTTTGCATCTAAAAATTATTTAGAAGCTAATAAGGCTTAATAAAGTTTGACTGTATACTTGTTAATAAAAATGGTTTCAATATTCTCCAGGAAGGAAATGTAAATTGAAGGTGGCAACATAAAGCTTGAAGTAAAACAGGCCTGAATTAATGGGAAAGGAGAAGACTTACTGCGTTTGTTCACTGATGGGCTTAAGAAAACCGGTGTTGAGGATGGAATTCAGTGAACTTAAAACATTTTATAAAATTTAAGATAATGAACTGAGCAGTTTGCGCTAGTAGATTAATTATTGCAGTATTACTTTTGCTTTAGAGGCTGAAACTTGACATAGTTCAGACTACTGAAAGTTAGTGTGATGCACGTACCGATTTCTGCTACCTTGATTTGGAGGACTCCAGAGACCCAGGTTCAAATTTTACCTTTGGCATTGGTTCATTTGCCTGTAGGTTAATAAATTTAATGAGGTGTGGGATGACCCCTGCTGGTGTCCCTGCTTATAAGAAAAATATGTATCTGGCAGGAAAAGGACCTTAATTTCAGTCCCAAAAAGTTACAAATATAAACTCTGTCATAAAACGTATAAAAATACCTAATTTAATGCATAAAATGAATAACGTTCTCTTTAAGTATGAAAATAATCTTAAACCACTGAACATTACTGTGTTAGAGCTGCAGTGCAATGCATTAAGAAGGACATTAATTGTTCAGTTCACTATGACATTGTGTTAAACGTCTTTTATTAATGAGCTGTTACTCCCAGCTGAGGCATTTGATAACCTCTAGAATGATGCTAAATACTCTCAGTTGATTTCAGTGAATCACTCTAAGCAAACCTAGAGGGAAAAAATACCCCAATAATTTACATTTGAGTCTGTAGGGTCCTAGAACTAGATTCATTTAAAGAATGGCAGCTTTCCTATAAATCAAACTTTCTGATTTAATGCAGCTGACATAGATCTATTTTACAATTTTTTTTTTAATTTCAAAAATACAACACATTAAAATAGGTTCAATTTATCAAAGCTAAGAGCAACAATTAAGTAATAATGTACTTAAAGTGCAAAGGCACTTTAACACAAAAAAGTGACGCCCAGTGGCTATACTTGGTAATTGAAACAGCAGTACTGTATATTATTATTTACAAAAGAAAGTCATAGTCCAGGAAAAAAGATCTTTGGAGATCTTCTACATAATACATTAACTTTCCACTCTGAAATGAAAAGGAAAAAAACCCAAAACAACAGAAAACCCAAAGACCCCCTTCCTCATTTCCTTCCAAATCAAAAAGAATTATGCAAGATCTATTACAGAAACATACATTTGCAGTGGCAGTTCCTACAGAAGGGTCAAAAGGAGAGAGAGATAGAAATAACTTAAAGGGAATGTTGCAAAAGCAACACCATATCCCTGCTATGCTGTAAGGGTTCCATTTCTCTCTCACTCCCTCTCCAGTTTAAAAAGTGGAAATGTTGGGAATGCGACAGATGACATCAGCATTGAGTTCAGACTCAATCAAATGTGATGCTGAGCTCATTTAAAAATTTTTCTTTATCTCCCACCTCCCCCCTCACAGCTGACTGATTGCAGTTTGTTTTTCCAGAACTTCGAGGTAGTCTGGTTCTGTTTGTAGCTTTCCTTGGAGTAAAGGATGCTCGGGTTTAGACTGTTCTGCAAAATATTTCCTGGGAGTTCCATATAAAACAGTTTTATTTATCCTGTCCTGGTTTTGGCGTCTTGATTCATATGAAGGGGCAAACTGCCTTTTGGGTAAGGTGCAAAAGTTATAATGAACTAATCCTCCGGTGGGGAGTTCCTTGACCCTTTCTGCAATATTTTGATACAGCAGCTCTGGTTCCCTCGGCGAGGATTGCTTCTCCAGTAGTTCAGCTGCACTGATTGTAAATGCGAGACTGGTGGGGTCTTCCTTTTTGTGGTCAAGGTTGCTATAGCTAAACTCATGGAGATTCCTGTAATAGGCAACTGGATCCCCTTCCTTTTGCATGTAGATTGGGTTTTGGCACATCTGTCCAACAGGAGGGGGAATGTAGTTATAAACATGTCCTTCAGTTTTATCGTGGGTCTCAGTGTTGTAAGACCCGTACTGGAGCTGAAATGAACTTATATCTAAATTGTTTGCGCTGCTGGGCATGCTCTGCACCCCCTTCCGGCGCTTAAGGACAAAGACAAACAGGCCTGCCCCAAAACAGACTGACAAAATAAACACAACCAGCAAGCCTAAAATTAAGACAGACAGCGGAACTTCGGTGTGTATTTCTGGGTAGGAGCTGGGCGAGACACCAAGGAGATGGGGTGTATCCGTGTTCTGGTTCCTGGAGAGGAGAGAAGAATCTGACAAGTTGGGGTTATCTGGGCAGATGGCTTCTTTGCTCAGGAATTTCAGATGCTCTCCAGAGTGCTTGGTGGGAGACTCACATATGACTTCATTGATGACTACGGGGGGATTTGACTGCTGGTTGTTCTGGTCAGTGACTTGCTCTATCCAGTTCCTCAGCCCCAGGATGTCACATGTGCAGTCCCAAGGGTTCTCCTGGAGGTCTATCTGAATTAGAGCTGAGAGCTGGTCCAAGACTCCTCTCACGGGCAGGTGTGAGAAATGGTTGTTTCTGAGGTTGAGTCTGGTGAGGGAAGTGCCACCAAAGACGTTGTCAGGCAAGGATCTGAGCAGGTTGTTATTGAGAAATAACAGATGAAGATTACTCAGCGCATCAAAGGTGCGTGGCAGGATCTCCTTAATGACGTTGTACTCTAGGTAGAGATACTGCAGGCTGTGCAGCCCGTCAAACATGGATGGGTAGAGAATCTCAAGGTAGTTGCCATTAAGATAAAGTCTGCGTAAACTTGTGAGGTTTGTAAAGGCACCTTCTTGTATCACTGCAATTCTGTTATTTCCTAGATGTAACAAATCCAGAGAGCTGTACTCTGTGAGATCGGTTCTATAAATGACTTGCAGATAGTTACTGGTAAGGTAAAGTTTCTTTGGACTGGTTGGCCTAGGGTGGAGGTCGGAGATGTTACTTATCTTTTTCTCTTGGCAGTTCACATTCAAGCCGTTGTCTGAGCTCTGTGAAGTACAGATGCAGCCAGATGGGCAGGTGATGGGCACAGGAGACTTTGTCTGGTAAACCATGATAGGTCCGAATATTTGCCTGTCTTTTGACACAGTCACACGGGGTGTGGGGCGGTTCCTGGTTTTGGGTGGCCGGCTGGCTTTTGGGGCTCTGGTGGGACTGATGGCAGCGTTGGCTGTGGGCGATAGCCTCGAGGTGTGTGGGTCTGAGAGGACAGGGTGTTTCTCCCTCTGGTTTGAATCACTGGAGCTTTTCCTAGGGCAGAGATCCTGCCTGGTGAGCTGGGTCACATCTTTCCCATGAAGCCTGAAGGGGGTTTCACAGACTATCTCGCCGACGAACACGGTGATGGTGTCTAGCCAGGCCTTGAGCGGCAGCAAGTCACAGGTGCAGTTCCAAGGGTTTTCCTCCAGCTGGATTTCCATGATGCCTCCAATGTGCTCCAGCACACCAGCAAAAGGCATCATCTTCAGCCGGTTCCCCCGCAGGTCCAGGTGAGTGAGGAGCACGAAGCGGAAGACATTGCTGGGCAGGGACAGCAGGAGGTTGTCATTGAGAATCAGCACCTTGAGCTTGTTTAGCTTGCTGAAGGCCCCCGCCTCAATGGCACTGATGTAATTATAATCAGCCTGCAGGTACTCCAGGCTCTCCAAGCCCAGGAAGGTGTCCTCCTTCAGCACTTCCAGCTTGTTGTTATTGAGGTGCAGCCTCTTGAGGGTGCGGAGGCCGCTGAAGGCCCCTGTGCGGATCTCCTGCATGTCGTTGTTGCCCAAGTGGAGGGTCACAGCATTGGAGTAGTTGACGAACTCATTGGGGAACAGGCGGGTCAGCGCGTTCCCGTTGAGAAACAGCTGGTAGATCTTGGATGGTGGCGGCAGGAGGAGGCTGACGGTTGTAAATCCTTTGTTTTCACAATTAATGTTCAGCACGTTCTCCTTCTCCTCACAAGGGCAGCGGCTCTTGCTGCAAATGTCTTTGGCAGGTTTGCGACTCTCTGTCCGCGAGATCCCAGCCACTGTTAACAAACTGAGCAACCAAACACCCTTCAGCATCTTTATGCGCCGTCGATCCCCGCTTCGGTACCTACAGTCAAACCTTTTGAGACAGGGAAGGAGAGAAAGAAGAAATCCCCAGTGAAAGCGGCCGGGAGCGGAGGCTGCCAGGGGAGGGTGAAGCAGGCTGCAAGGCTCGGGGGGAGGGCGGCGGCAAGACAACGACTTGCGAAACTCCTCCGAAATCCCCCCCGCCGGCTCCTCCACCCCTCCTTCTCCTCTCGGAAGGCGCCCGCGGAGCTGCCGCGGGGGAAGCCCCGTCGGGGAGCTCCCCG